CAGTCACGAACAGGCAATTAGGAATTTGGGTCACGCAACTAGACATTCCCAGTAAGAGTTTCCAGTCACGTGTACCACAGTTCCCTGGCACAGTTTGCTGTGGGTGATTTCACTTGTACCACAGTTCCCTGGCACAGTTTGCTGTGGGTGATGTCAGTTCCCTGGCACAGTTTGCTGTGGGTGATGTCAGTTCCCTGGCACAGTTTGCTGTGGGTGATGTCACTTGTACCACAGTTCCCTGGCACAGTTTGCTGTGGGTGAGTGGGTGCTGTTTGTGGTGGAAGAATAGATCAACTCATCCCATGTTCAGCTCAACCGTTGGGATCTGTCAAAAGGGAGAGGTGTTGGGACCCCAGAATAACATTTTTAGTTTTAGTTTTAGTAGAGGTTTTACTGCGCTCGCAACTGCAAGGTTATGAACGCCCAGAAGAAATTATCAACTTTTTATGTTGTTTTTTTTTGTTTGGGTAACTGTTTTACGGCGCTCGCAAGTGCATAAGGTTATATGAGCTCGCGGGACACATTAAACATTTTCAGTAGGTAGGAAATTTTAAATTTTGCGCGTGTGGCGGCCGAGGCCTACTCTTATCGATTTTATACCACCAAGAGATCTTTAACGTGCGCAACTTGTACACTTGACCTCGGAGATTTTCAGCCCTTGTCCAAGAAGGTTAGGCGTTGATCTTTCCTACCAAAAGATCAAGGGTGTGGCAGAAAGACAGCAGTAAGAAGGAGCCAAGGAGAAGCAGTAGAAAGGCTGCAGAAAGAGTCTGGAGCCCAAATGAGGGGGCAAAGGAGGTGGAGACGAAAGTAAACGAAAGAGGTATTGTTGAAAAGTAGGAAATGAGGTGAAAGGAGACAATTTTAGAGAAGAAAATGCTTCGATCGCTACCCGGATTCGAACCAGAGACCTTTCAATAAGAGGCGAACACCTTAACCCCTCGGCCAGGAGAGCCACCTGATCAACTTTACCGAATATCAACTGGCGCGAGTTCACCACAAGCGGGTATTAACATGTCGTTCTTCTGCACAGTAGAATTGTAAATGGACTGATGTATCAATGTCATGCTCATACTGTGCCGGAACAACATAGGGGGAACTGCTGTTTTTGCTTTCCTCATCCTTACTATCGTCATTTTTTCCTCTACTTCTTTTGTATGTTTGTCACTCTCTTGTGAACAGCTATTTCCGGGGTGCCTTGACAATCGAAGCAGACTTCGTGCTGTTGAGGCTAGAGAGGTGAGCAGAGTAAGCCTGATTCCCTGTAAGGACTTCTCTGTTGACATCCACTCCTTGACGCTCATATGACCGTATGCATTTGCAAGCGCCGTAAAACCTTACCAAAACTAAAAACCAAACAGAAGGGGTGTAAGTGAAGAGCAACAGAAATAATACAAAGAAACAGACGAGAGATGAGGACAACGGACGGTTGACAGGAGAGAAGGAGCAAACCACACCAGAGCACCCGCCAGCCACCCTCAGACTATAGACAGCTAAACCTAGACACAAGCAAACTAAGATAGTTCGTGAATGACTCCACTTCAAGGTCAAAACCTCAAGAAGTCAAAAGTCAAAATGTTGAAGACCAGATCCATCGGTGTCAAAGCGTTTACTTGGTTCAGACGCGTACAAGAGTGCAGGTGTCACTGTACTGTTCCCTGATGCTTGGTTCCGTGAACCAATTTGTTTAGGATAGTTGGACACTTTTGAAACACTGTCCGTCCATTTACTGACTGACTTACTTACTTACTCGCTTACTTCTGTCCGTTGTGAGACGTGGGGAAGGTAGACAGACAGACAGACGGGCTAAAACAAAAGAGGGATTGTTGAAAAGTAGGACAAAGCAGAGACGCATTTCCAGTAAGCTTTTTGCTCTGTCGGTTACGACAATAGAAATGAAGTCACTTAGAGCGTGTTAGGTTAAGAGCTTTTGGGAGTTGGGTGTTTGTTTTTTATGGATGTGTTTGTGTTGTTGTTGTTGTTGGGGTCTTTTTTAAATCGTGGACTGCCATGCAGGTAAATGTTTCCGCTAGCAGCAATGTTGTTAGTTTCTGGGGTTCATTTTGTTTTTATTTCAAAGTGCCCCCCTTCTGAAGTCACGTACATTTAGGCTAATCAGTAAATGAGGGGGGTCGCTTATCGTACATGTGGTGTTGCACATTCCATCTCTGACATTGTTGGCGTATTAAGCGGGGACCAGCGACCGTACCCTTTTGTGAATGAGCCTCTCCCTCCAAAACGTCGCAGTTGTGCTTTGTTTTTGTCTGGTTTTTGGGTGTGTTTTTTTGTCTGGGTTTGTTTTTGTTCAAACTTCTGTTTAGTTTCGTTTTTAGTAAGAGTTTTACAGCACTTACAACACAATAAGGTCGTATAAATGCCGAAGATTACAAATATTACAAGAGAGTAACAAACACAAAAAGAAGGAGGGGAGATAAGGGTGATAGATGTTGGGTAGGAAAGAAGGAGGGGAGATAAGGGTGATAGATGTTGGG